ACTGCGGGGAACCATGCAAAAAACGCATCTTCGCACGGGCAGCCCGTGCGTTGGCCAATTATTTTGCTACATGTCATAGTTGCCCACCAGCAGCACGGAAAAAAGGAGTCTTACTAGTTATCAGTTGCTGGGTGCCGTTAAAAACCGCAGTCTGTGTTTTACCCTTCAGATAAAGTGCGAGAAATTGTTAAAGTGTTTTTGTGTTTGAAAGGCATACTAAAAAAAATTAGCGGAACAGCTTTATGTGTTTTTCTTCATTATCCGATTTCCTGGAAGCTGCTGCATCAGTTCAGGCATTTGCGGATTGCTTTTACAAAGCGGCTACCGAATCTCTGGAAGAACGTCGTGATCATGGAATTCTTTTGAATCAGTATCTGTTGAGTCATGATATTGATGAATGGAGCACTGCATTTTTGGATCCTTCCTGGACACATGAAGTCATCAGGCTTACCGAAGTGCGTTTTTGCAATCTATAAACTTTATTAAAATCCTTTTCCTGAGTGATTGCTGCCCATTTCAGTTGCATTTCGAGAGCTTGATCTTGCTGTTTAATAGTTTTCATTCGTCTTCTCGCTCCCACTTAGTAGAGGATTACTTGTAGTGGGATTGCTAATTGGCAGTTAATTTCTCGTCAAAACTAATAAAGTGAAATGAATTTGATGAAAGCGTTGGCGTCTGTCATGCGCTGTTGACTGCCAAAGGAAATGCTAAAGTGCATTTTGAATGCTTTATTATTTATGGAAGTTTTCATTTCAGTTAAAGCTTTTGGCGGATTTTTATCAGCTTATGGATAAGACATGTCAAGTACGTAGGCAGATCGCTGATCGGGTATTGAAAGGTATTGCAATTCGGGCGCACTTCGCCGTTTCTCTTGAAAATGCAAAGGTTCCTGCTATTTTTTTTGCCCAGTAGCGCTGTACAAAATCCGTTTTTAGCGTCAGAAATGTTGTTATATAATCTGGCAGTCGTTTTATTGGAACTTTTGGTTCCCATGTTTTAGAAAAAGTAAGTAGCGGTGCGCACCAGGATAGCCGCTGCGAAATGCGTTTTGAGCAGTTCCGTCCAGCGAACTTTTGTCTACTAAGGATTTTTACTGCTATGCAATTTTGCATGTGCAAAAATAGTTGAAATGTTGTCTGGTCCCCGAGTTGCGAAACCCTCCACTAAAACCTTGTACGTTAACATCCTTCCCAATTCAACTTTTTAATTTAGGCAGGGATCATTATCCTAAAACTTCAGCTTCAAAGCTTTCATAATTCCCGAGATAACAACTTTATCCGCCAAAACTTGGAGTTGCACGTGGTTCCCGGGGACGGGGAAGTCCGAAACTAAATGCAGGGTTAGAAGTGGACGAGGAACATTCCTCTAAAATTTCAGCTTCCTAGCTTTTGTGGTTCTCGAGTTGAAAGTTGCGAGCAAGGTGCATCGGACACACACACATACACATAGACAGCCCCGTGACAGTATGCGTCTTGCGCAGCTGTTGCGCAGCACAAAATACATAAAAACTGGTTTTTTAATTTTTGATTCGCTTTTTTGCTAATTCACTTTTTTGCCTTTAAGGCTTCGCTTGAAAATTCCTGTGATCCTGGCACACATACTTTAACCTTGGAGACCGCCTCGGCTGGTGACGACTCGGATGACAGTAGTCGAGTGATGACCGCAAAGTTTAACATAACAAATGAACTCGCAGAATTGGAAAACGATCTTGCTTTTCTTCAGTTCGTCCAAAGCGATGAAATTACGAACGTGGAGCAGTTCGTGATGGTTGAGTTTTCAAGTTTTTGTGTTCTTTGTTTTTTGGACTGAAGCAAGGCCTTGATATTGAAGGCCTAAACAAGTACTTATATTTGGAGGAAATAACAGATTCTTGGAGACCGAAAAAATTTCGTTTGCTCTGGTCCTCGGAAGTTCAGTGAAGCCACTGCGCCCGTTACCATCTACCATTCAGATGCCTTTATAGAAATACAGCTAAAGCACTATAACAAAATGTTTTTGCAGACACTTGGCCGCTATCATCCTGCCGGACAAACTGCGTTTGTGGATGAAGTGAACAAGGCCTCGGCGTTGCTTAGTGAAGGCGACCATTTCCAGCATTTCTTCACCGATCGTGATGGTACACTAAAAGCATATTCATGCTCCTATCCGGCAAGCATTCAGCCAGCCTATTCTGCTGTTATACAGGTATGTGCCGAGTTCTCAGTTTAGTCTGATGGCCTAAAATAATCCTCTTCAGAATCTTCTCACTTTTTGAACTAAAGTAATTGCTCCCCGTCTTTTTATTTGGTTTCTCAGTGAATGAGTACTGTGTAATTATTTGCTGTATATCATTGTACTAAACACTTTTTGGTCTTAATTATATTCTCGTATGACAGTGCAAAAAGTTCGATTTGTAGGCTCAGTTTGCTCGACGCTGTGCTCAGTTCTGCGCAATTGTCACTACATCGCCACTGATGCATATTGGCATCCTGAATGTTAGCACAATGCCGGAAGGTATGTGCTCTCTCCTCCGCTACGACAATCATTCGTTTTGCATGGCTAAAGTATTTTCTTCACTCTGAGTAGGCTCAAAATCGCATGTCCTACACTTTCCGAGCATAACTGTTTGCAGATATGCTACTTCAGCCAGCTTAGCAGCCCATTAGACTGGCACTGTATGATTTTCCCTTCCTCATTTGCATTCTTGTGATTTTGAGTTTTAAGGTTATTATGCATATGGCGCATCTGCTGGTCGCGAATGGTACCTGAATCCTTCATTACAGTTCAAGGATGACAGTGTGAATGACGCTGACTTGGCGCTGCTGACAAGTGTCTTTGAAAGGGTAAAAGCATGAAATTTCGATTTGGAGAAAAAAAAAACGCGCAGGATTGCGTATCTTTAACGCTATGATTGTTCAGCTTGAGGAACTGCTGGAACAGACGGAGTTTCGAAATTTCACCTGGATCGGTTCCGGGTTGCAGAGGCATTATGGTCACATTACAATTGCACGACAAGATGTTAATAACTCGGTTCCTAGGCATCGTTCAGCACAACTGTTCGTTTAATCTTAATCTGTTTTTTGCTAGCTTTCGCGGAAACTGTTTTGTGAATAGACTACACTCGTTTTCTCATGCCACCTTTCTTCGTTTATCTATTGCTCATTTTTGAAACGTCGCAAACTTCGCCCTAGAAACTTTCTTTAGATGACAAAATCTACATGAATTCACATTAATTATTCTTTTTAATTTGGCTTTAGAATGCTATTGCTGGTGGTCACTGTTGACTTCGCAGTTCCCTACATTAGCGGCTTTTGACATCCCTCTTTTTTAACTCATTTTTGGGGGAAGTCAGCGCTAAAACTTATGATTCAAGAGCAGAGTTTTGATAATTGACTTTTACATTTATGATAAGCAAATTTGAGCCCTTCCAGGCCATTGCCTGATAGAATTAGTCACATTGTTGGGAATCTCCCTTATTTGTCAAAGCATTTTTCAAGTGAAGGCAATGGCCTACCTGCGCTCAAATTTGTTTACTATGTGATGCATGTCATTTAACAAGACTGACGTTTCGAAGCAAGAATTTAGATTATCGTGACATTTTGGCGCATTTTGTCTGAGGTTCTCAAAGCTGACAACTGTCGACAGGGCAGATACACGAGCGTTTTTTTGAAAATGTGAAATTTTATATGATTAAATGAGACAGGGCTAGAACATGGAATTGGAACTCAAAGAACTGAAAGTATTCTGGGAAGTAGAAAATGAGGAAAGCAAAGAAGAAAGGAAAGACAGTTTAGCGCCTTCTCTGTCATAATCCAAAATATGTAGCATGATAAAATCGTAATTCCAGTTGTTAACATTTCTGGAACTTAAATGTAACGGTACGTATTGCATAGTTGTTTTCAGATATCAGGCGGTGAGTAAAATAGTAAGTCAAGTGGATCCGACAGCTTCAACGTTGGCATTACGAGAGGGTGAATACGATTTAAAAATTTTCACTAAGGTGGCACTCTCGGAAGTCAATGGAGGGCAGGTAAACAAATTTTTGTTTTTATTCTCTGCTCTCGTTCTGGTTAAGCAATTTTTACAATTTTTTTTGCACTTATTTTTTGCAGAATTCAATCATAATTGATCTGTAAGTTGCCCTTTTCTTTTCCTCATTGTTTTTGGGCGATTAGTTCTGTTTCCGAGCAAAATTCTGGCAGATTTTTTGCCAAGACATTTAAAAATAAAAATCGCAGTTTTCCAAAACAGAAGAATAAAAATCGCAGTTTTCCACGAGCCCTTTGGTCTTTGTGACTCAGAGAGGCGTTGTTAGCTTGACAAATTGCCAAAGCATTCAAAATTAGTCGGTTGAATCGATTGCTTTCAGTCCAAGCCTACCGGACGTATTTTTAACAAAGGGCATGGAATTCGTCTGATAGAGCGAAAAATGGGTCTGAAACTGAATGCTGGTAAGATTTTGGTTTGTGGTGATTCGGAGACCGATTTGCCGATGCTCGAAGAATGCTTGGCTCGTTCGCCGATGAATGTTTACACCATTTGGGTGACAACAAATCCTCAATTGCAAGAAAAAGTGCGAGCAGTCTGTGAAGCACATGGAAACGACCATTACGTTTTTGTTTCCTGTCCTGAAGTGAGTTTTTTTGACGTCAAATGGGATTCGTTCGTTTGTCTAATCTGCAAGACATGCACGAGGAGCTGTGGTATAGCATTCCATTGAACTTCTTCTGTATAATTGTTGAAAGATTGAATATTGATAATTTTTGACATATTCATTTTGCTAGCTCTTGAAACATTGTTTGTTTCAAGCGATGAATACATCGGAAAAGGTTTGGTGAACAGTTTGTGTTTGCGAAAATATACATGATTGGAAAAAAAAAAAAA